TACGCACGTAAAAAATCCATTGGCAGTTGGAAATCTTAAAAGATAGAATAACGCTGCCTGTCAAAATTCCTTTCCCGTTCATACATTCAGTTCATATTTCCTAACGTCCTTACCGTTCGCCTTTGTTCTTCCCTTTGAATTTCGACATGTGGTTCTTGCATTGACAGTTCTCTCCTAGATTTAACAAGATGTCGGTATACACACTTCTAAATAAGATACCACAGCCACATTGTCGAGTGCTTTCTTACGTAGCTGAAAGTATTATCTCTGATCTATTAGCATTATTGAGGCTGCGACAGGTGAGAATAAAGAGACGAAACTGTGTTATAATTTGAAGCCTGAGACATTATCTGATACATTAACGTGAGATGATAACGGTGTTCATGTCTACAAAGCCAGGGGAAAACAGCAGCTGGACAAGCCGTATCTGGCTTCCAACAAGATAAGTTGTTTTTTTTAACGGCAAGGGCCGTGTGATATTTAAGGACCGGCACTTTATGTCAGTATCACAGTAAACTCGTTGATTGAAGAAGATTTGACAAATCCTACATTTGTTTCACATTAAGTGATTGTTATTTGACAAGTTTGTGTATTTTGATTATGTAGCAATAGTATTACTAGTAGCAGCAGCAAAAGTAGTAGTAGGGGTATTATTAGTAGTGGTAGTAGTAGTAGTAGTAGTAGTAGTAGTAGTAGTATTATTATTATTATTATTATTATTATTATTATTAGTAGTAGTAGTAGTAGTAATAGAAGTATTAGTAGTAGTAGTAGTAGTAGTAGTAGTAGTAGTAGTAGTAGTAGTAGTAGTAGTAGTAGTAGTAGTAGTAGTAGTAGTAGTAGTAGTAGTAGTAGTAGTAGTAGTAGTAAGTTTAAACTACGATATCATGTTCAGTCCTTCTTGTTTATTTTTTGAAGATATGTAGATACTTGTCTCTCTATCATCAATCAGCAAGTCCTTTGCAGAACGTCGCTCTTTTCCCGGCACGTCTGAAAGTATCCCTTTTTCTAGCCAGCTCTCCAGCCCCATGTGCTTTCAGTGCCAATGCATCTTCAATGTCTTGTATCTATCTTCGCGGTGGTCGACCCCTGTCACGCCTTCCACAAACTGCGCCCTCCATCACCGTCTTTTCCAAGCCACCATGACGCTTAATGTGGCCAAAATACTTCAACTTTCGGGACAGGATGCTGTTTATGAGCCAGTTCTCCTTGATGTTCAACTCGTTCAGAATGTCGAAGTTTTTCCTCTTCCTGATCCATGGCATTCTAAGCATTTTTCTATAGCATTTTTTTTAAAAAGCTCCAATCTTTTTCCTCATTGACTGATTGAGAGCCCAACCATAGGTTGCCACAGGAAAAATGATCTCAAGGTTTTTAGTTTTACCAATTTATGGCTTTGCCATAGGTTCTTCGTGTTATTTAATCTCTGCATTGCCAATGCAAGTCTTCCAATGACTTCTCTTGAGCAGTCGCCACTGTTGTTCACTAAAAAGCCCAAGTATTCGAAATCTGTTACATTTTCTATTTCTTCATTTTCGATTGCGATTCATGGTTGGTGTGCGGTATTTACTGAGGACATTTTTTTTTTTTAATTCAGAAACAGATTCACTAATGACTATGCTTTTACTTTCTCTCTATAGTTATTGAATATTTGTGCCTGTCAATTACTTTTGGTTTTTTAATAGTGTCTAAATTATTTCTCGATTACGTAGATGCGCTGGCCTAAGGTAGTAATATACTTCTTACTTACAGTAAGGCGATACAGTAGCCTGACTGCAGAATTCATAATGTGTACAGATGTGTCCTAGTGTTACCTTGTATGTGCTTTGCTATAGAATAGTTCACTTCCTATGTCTTTTAGAACAGCGAATAAATAACCGAAATGTATGATAATAGTATAGTTAGTTAGTTAGTTAGTTATTCCTCTTGTGCCAAAGATGGCGCATAGGGCAGAGGTCATAGCTTTCCACGTCTGTCGGTTCTTTGCCACTTGATGTAGGTCTTGAGTGCGACTGAGACCTATGGTTGAGCTCTCCCTTGTGATGGTTCTACGGAGAGTTTCTTTTGGTCTTCCCTGTTTTCTTTTACCCTCTGGTGACCATATGAAGGCTTGGTGGGGAAGTCTCTGTATGTCCATTCTGAGTACGTGACCGATGTAATTCCAGCGACGCTTTCTAATAAAATCAGACACATATTTTTGTTTTGTTTCCTGTCTTATAGATGTATTGGACCTAAAGTCCGACCAGTGAACATTCAATAGATTTCGGAGGCATCTATTCTCGAAAGCGACTAGTTTCTTATCGATTGATACTGATGATTTCCAACTCTCACAACCATAAGTTAGCACTGGGATCACACAGGAATTGAAGACCTTAAGTTTCGTGTATGATAATAGTATACTATATCTATAACTTTCATAAGTTTGAGGTATTTAGTGCGTGTCTTGTCATTGATTCTTTTGAATACCGTACTCCATTACTTAGTTAGTAAGTTGTTTAACTAGTTAGTTAACCGACCGATAGTCTTCCATCTTTGTTAGATTATAGACGACTATCAATAAACTTTCACTGAGATTCCATTTTCAGGTTCGTTATCCAGCGTGTTTACAACTTTCGTGAATTCCAAGTTTATTTTCCGTTCATCGCTTATACTTATGTAACTGCCCCTGAGGTTCCTACTACCCCGTGCGCCGCTTAACACCCTTGCGCCACCCCCCAGCCTGCCGCCACCCCACCGGCCCGCGACAGTTATCTCGCATGGACAGTTCTAACGCTTCCAGGTTGGGGCGGTATAACCCTCATTAGGAAACACCACTCAAACACGACCCCTATTTTTAAACATTCCTTGGTAAGTTTATAGATGTCAATCAATGACCCCCGATGACAAATCTATAGGCAGATGTGGTTATCCAGTGTATCAATTGACAAATATTGTTACCCAGTGTATCTGCAACTTTCATTAGTTTTAAGCGTCCCCTATTTTCAAACTTCGCCTATGTCTTTCCTTCAACAGTTTATAGACGCCAATCAATAACCTCTGATTGTGAATCCACTGACAGATGTGGTTATCCAGTGTATCATTTGACATCTACGGTTATCAAGACTGGTCATTGACAGATGCGGTTATCCGGTGTATCAACTGAGAAATGCAGTTTTCTCGTGTGTCCACTGACAGATGTAGTCATACAGTGTATCCATTGACAGATGAGGTTATCCAGTCTGATCATTGACAGATGTGGTTATACAGTGCATCCATTGACAGATTTGGTTACTCGGCGTATCTTCAATTTTCATGAATTTCAAGTGTCCCCTATATTCAAACTTTTCCTACGTCTTTCCTTCAGCAGTTTATAGACGCCAATCAATAACCCCTGATGGTGAATCCATTGACAGATCCCGGTTCCCCGTGGCCAGAGTTGTACACCTTCCATCAATCAAAGGTGGCGCTGATGCTGGCAATGGCTGTGTGAGGAAGAATCCTAATTCTTGTTTACCGACACAAGATGTGCGCGTTATTTCGTCTTTTTCGAATGTTTCCTTGATATGAATATTAGCGAGAAGAAGGATGAACTCTATAAGTTTGAATGAGAGTTCCAAGTCTGGTTGTGAAGCGCGAGGACCGACAGAAAGCGGGGATAATAATCACACAGATGCGACGGAAGAAGAGCACAACAAAAGTGATGGTCGTGATGATGGGGACAGCAGTGAGTCGGAATGTGAATCCGGCGATCATAGGTCGACCCATGTCGGTCAGAAAACTTCACATATCACAGCCAGTGACGATGTAGATTCACACACAGCGCTTTCGTTGAAGGAAGGAACTTGTAAGCAGAATTCCGAGGAAAAGTTAAGCACACACCCGTCTCTGACTCTGTTTTCTAACGGTCCCGTGTTCCCTGCTCGACATACCAGGGATTTGCAGCTGTCTCAGCCGGGCCTAGATTTGAGCACTCCCTCAGATAATGTTGACACCGCAACTTTAGAACTAAGTAGTGCCACAAAAAAGGCGATTCTCAGTTTTATCGATACCGCTGAAGCTGATGCCACAGGAAGGTTAGCCGCGTCTATGAAAATAGATGTCCAGCCTAACAGTCCTAAAGATAACGCCATCTTAGATTCCAGTAGTTTGGAGGCTTTTATGAAAAATCCATCAGCTGCTTTGAGTGGAGATGTAGAGAATGAATCACTAGCTCCTCTAAATGCTTCATTTTTTAGTTGTCAGTATCAGACGCCTAACTGGATTGATGATCCCCTGGTGGGAGTGCCTGCAAGTGCCATGGAGAATAAAAATACGCACAGAAAAACTGGTGCGGATATGCGAATTTTAACAGCATATATGAGATCGTTAAATGAAATGAGATTACCAGAAGCAATCCCGCCAACAGAACTTGATAAATATTTATCATCCTTCTTTTTGGTAGTGAGGAAAGCAGACGGCAGTGAATACGAACCATGTAGTTTAAGGGCAATGCTTGCGAGCATTGAGAGGTACTTGCGGTTTAAGAATTATCCACTATCTTTGACTAGAGATTCTGCCTTTTCCAATATGAGAAATGTGTTGAAGTTGAAACAACAGACACTGCGATCTATTGGCAAGGGACAGAAGACACCAAGTGAGGTGTCGCCATCTTCGCTTGCCCGTGAGGGAAAAATAGCCCACCTATTCAAATCTCAGGAAATGGGGCCGTATACGCCAAGCTCCGTCGTTTTTACTTTATGCTTTTACTTCTGCATGTACTTAAGGCTGAGAAAATCAACAGAAAACAAGAAGCTTTTGTGGGGAGATATTATTCTTTGCAAGGATGAGAGTGGTCGCGAATTTCTTACGTTTTCTAGTCAGATGTTACGACGAGCACAAGGTTCTTCGAAGATGAATGTAAGACAGAGAAATTACCGTGTGTGGGCAGATCCAAGTTGCCCAGAGAAAGATCCAGTTACTATATATAAATTCTATGCACAAAAACGACCCGCATCCATGAATACAAATTTTGCGCCATTTTACCTCGGAATTAACGTCCTGTACCCAACTCAGGGACAGCTGTGGTATAGACCGGCTGCGATGGGGATCAACAAGTTGAATGAAATGGTTCGCCAGATAAGAGATATTACTGGTGTACGCAGTACTTCCGATTTCCATAGTGGAGCACATGTGGCAGAAAAGAAAATCTTTGACCTGGATGTTACAGGTCAAGGTGAAAGAAGCCCACAAGATGACCTTGATGATCATCGAGATTCTCAAATAGATGTGAAAACTGAGGTAATGGATGATAGCGACGATGATGACTGTAGCTCCAATTTGGCCATCGATTTCACCCAGGAACAACATGATCCGCCTCTCGACTGTTCCCAAAATAACACAGCCTCCTCGTTATCAGTCCACTACAGCATAACTCCAACAGGAATGGTTCAGGCAGTGTATTCCGACCGGGACAACAGCAGTGACAGCTTTTCTCAACAGTCATTCCCAACAAATGCAAACGGTGAGGTCGCACAGGATTTGAGCAACGGCGATCACAGCCAAGAGATTGACCTGACCACAGGCAGCAGTCCCGACTCACCCCTCAACTGTTCCACCAAGGGCAGGGCCAGCTATGACAGTCTAGATTATGCTTCACATAAACTGAGTTCAGGTAAGTTAACTTTTATCACTGTCATCTCAAAGTTATTGTCTTCTTCTTCTTCTTTGCGTTCGCTGGCTGTAAACTCCATCGGAAATATTCTGGTTGTTCGTCCACTTCTGGGCTCTAGTCCTGTTCCAGAAAATGAGTGTTGTGTGTACATCAATTTCACAGGTCTGAGTTATTTGCATGCAGACTGTTGGTTCCTTGCCTCTCAGGCAGATGTACACTGACTTCGAAGGAAGCTATTGTCATATTGAACATCTGCTGACCTGGGTTGCACCCTTTGTCCTGTGTCTTAGTGTCTGTCCTGTGTCTTAGTCTAGGTCCTATGTGTGTGTGTGTGTGTGTCTTGCTGTCTATTCTGTGTTAAAATACTACCATCTGTCCAACCCTGTGTCCCATGTCATTCCCTCAGTTCTGACTTACTGCTAACATGTCCTGTGTCTTAGTCTAGGTCCTATGTGTGTGTGTGTCTTGCTGTCTATTCTGTGTTAAAATACTACCATCTGTCCAACCCTGTGTCCCATGTCATTCCCTCAGTCCTGACTTGCTGCTAACATGTCCTGTGTCTTAGTCTAGGTCCTATGTGTGTGTGTGTCTTGCTGTCTATTCTGTGTTAAAATACTACCATCTGTCCAACCCTGTGTCCCATGTCATTCCCTCAGTCCTGACTTGCTGCTAACATGTCCTGTGTCTTAGTCTAGGTCCTATGTGTGTGTGTGTCTTGCTGTCTATTCTGTGTTAAAATACTACCATCTGTCCAACCCTGTGTCCCATGTCATTCCCTCAGTTCTGACTTACTGCTAACATGTCCTGTGTCTTACCTTGTAACTTTATCTCCTGCATGAAGCCCTGGGTAGAGCTAAGGGTTACAGACTGAAAAGAGGAAGGTCTTGGATGGCGCTAGCTGAAGACTCATTACGGTCTGAGGAGAATGGGGCTGCGGGGAGTTACCAGGAGATCTGGCCGACGTTGAAGCTCAAGAAAAGGGCGAGACAGACATACAGTCAGACAGTTACTGGTAACATCAGAATTAGAACTCTTTGCTTGCTGTTGAAGATTGGGATGGAGCACTTATGGGAGTGTCCTGAGTGTTGTGATGCCAATTCCTGATTCAGCATTCAACCCTATGATATGTCCTATATTTTATCATATGTCCCGTGTCTCATCTTATATCCTGTGTCTTACCTCATATCCTGTGTCTTACCTTATGTCCTGTGTCTTACCTTATGTCTTGTGTCTTACCGTATGTCCTGTGTCTGATTCTCTGTCCTATGTCTTACCATGTCTTGTCTTACTATGTCTTGTAATATCGTCTTACCTTATATGCTGTTTTTTACCATCTGTCCTGGGTCTGTATCTGAAGTCCCACATCTTACCCTCTGACCTATGTCCTACCCTGAGCTCCGTTTCCTACCCACTGTCATGTCTTATTATTTCTCCCATGCTTTACCATCTGTCCAGTTTTGACAATATTCATCCAGGATTCTTTCAGCTGAGTGTGTGTCTCTGTGGGAGTGTCCGTGTGTGCATGTGTGTGTCTCCATGCATGACTGTATGTATGTTTGTATTTATGACTGTATATATGTATGTATGTATGCCTGTATTTTTGTATGTATGTTTGTGTGTGTGTGTGTGTGTGTGTGTGTGCGTGCGTGTGTGTGTGTGAATGCCTGTATGTATGTGTGTGTGTGTGTGTATTCACGTGCAGGTTTTTGCACGCACTTTACAACCCATGCTTTTGTGATCTTTTATAATATTCATAATATGCATATCATCATCATATGATCATAACATGCTTTATTAGTAAAATACAACTGCTGTGCCACTCAGGTAACTTCATCTTCCTTTGACTCGTATCTCTTTAGACATCCAAACACATTGGACCAACTTATTTGTGCTCTGCCCTCTGATGCAGCAGCCATCTTAGTGTCTTCGTGCTAACTGTACCCAGTTTCCTTCAAGTCAGAGTGCATCTGCCTGAGAGTCAAGGAACCAGCAGTCTGCATACAAATAAGCAGATCTGTAAAATGGGTATGCATGCAAAATTCAGGTTCTGGAACAAGATTAAAGTCCAGAAGTCGACACACAATCAGAATTTTCAGCTGAAGTTAAGAACTGGAGCTCTGTGCTTGCTGCTGAGAGTGAGGACAGAGCACTTATGGGAATGTCCTGAATGCTATGATGTCAGTTCTGAACTCAGCTAAACCGGTTAAACAAGGGTGACAGTTAAAGTAAGTGTTAATTTCTGGCGTAAATGAGAATATCATATGTTTTTCTATCAGGGGTGAAGTCATCTGATGCACTGAGTATGTCCGAGGCCAAACTGCAGCTTTTGGATATTGTCAGAAAAATGGAACTGTCGGATGTTGAAGAATTCAACCATTGGCTAAAGAATGTTAGCTTTTCTGCTGATCCTCTCTCAGGTAAGTTTACTTTTATATGGTCAAGTCTTCTGCTTATATGTTCGCCTTAAAAGGGTGGTTGGCATATTGTGTTGTGGTTTACAGCTAAGCTGTAATTGATGCGCCTTTCGGCCTAACACATCCTTCTTCCTTTTCATCGTCTTCCGAATAACATAAATGCATTGCGCCTGTTTACAGCATAGCTGCAATATTTTGCGCCTTTTGGCAGATACATCTGACTTCTTCAGGTATTTGTTATCCGGGCTACCTTCCTAGTTAGTTTAGTGGGACATTTGTAGTATCATATGTGTGGTTACTACAACATCCCCTGATCCACAGGTGTTGTCCTTTGATGACCCCATCCAGGGCAATCACCGGCAGGTTGGTCAGCCATCAAGGTCAGGCAGGACATGGGCATTCTGCGCTGTCCAAGGAGGCTTCCATACATGGCACTCTGGCACAGGGCTCATCTCATCATCATCAGGTGCCTTGCTGACTGGTGTGTTCGATCATGCCTCTCCATAATCTGCGATCTCCTGCAGCTTGTATCAGTTTGTGTGCCGACACACCTCCATGCCATGCAACAAGACTGTCGAGCATCTTCTCTCGCTGTCTTCTTCTATCCCTCCTTCCACAGATCTTTCCAGTGGTCACAACATGTTCTATTTTCCCTCTTCTCATAACATGGCCAAGAAATGATGACTGTCTCCTTCTGATGTCTGTGATAAGTTGTCTTTGGGCTCCCGGCTCTTTCAGAACCTCATGGTTGCTCATCTAAGGAATCGTAATGTCCTGCACACAACTGCTTGACTAGTTTTGATGCTTAATTCTTCAGTTCTTGAGCAATATATTTATATATGTGTATGTATGTGTGTATATATATTGCTCAGGGATTATGGAAGGCTCTCCCCACTTTTATTTAACATTTGTATAGACAGAAAATCTAAAGAAGCAAGTTCTGATCTGATACAGACAACACAGATCTTTATAATTATGAGGAAGTACACACATCAGAAGTAGTAATAGATTCATCCACATTAAACGAACTACTATTTGCTGATGACCAGTGCTTGTTCTACCCTGAAGAAGATAGACTGCAAGACCACATTAACAGGGTAAACTCAGCATGCAGTAAATACAACATGAAGATCAACGCAAACAAAACCGAAACAAAGCAGGTTAGTAGAACCACTGGCCCACTACACATACAGCTGAACCCTTCTGGTCTGAATCAGGTTAGGGAGTTTAACTATCTAGGAAGTATGATCACAGAAGATGATAGAATTGATAGAGAAATAGAAACCAGATGTCAAAAAGCAAGTGTACTTACAAACCAACTGTCACCATTATTAAGATATCCAAGCATAACTATGAGTGCAAAGAGACAGATTATAAACAGCATATTCATTCCTACATTAAGCTACCAGTGCCAAACATGGACACTATCTAAAGCCTATATACGCAAAATCACCACCTGTGAGATATGGTGCCTGAGAAAAGCAGCCAACCTAACCATCCGAGATCGAGTGGATAATCATACTATCAGATAAATTGTGGTAACGACACCTTGTTCTAGATTCATTGAGAAACAGCAGATCAAGTGGTTTGTCTGTTCTCAGAATTTGATTTTACATGCACATCTGTTTTACAGATCTGGCTTATTTGTACACAGACTGTTAGTTTCTTGCCTCTCAGTCAGAGGTACTCTGACTTTGAAGGAAACCCCTAATTAGTTTACTCTTACGACATACTTTCTTGATTGTCCTCATACCGGGACCCCGGAACCCACACAGGGAGTATGCCACATTTTATGGTATATACATGTCTTACCAGCTGTTCACAAAAGTAATATTTCCCAAATCTTCTACCAACAGGTCATATTGTTTATAAAGAGGAGGAGAGAGATGAACGCAAGGAGCCGATGAGTGTCAAGGCAAGCAGCAGTAACGGAACTCTAGGTGCTAGCATCACTTTAAACATATCTCTGACCCCCCAAGCCTTGCAAGGTGACGGCCCCATCACCGTTACTGCACAGACTTCCATTTCCCCGGAGCAGCCACGCATCTCCAACACTAGCCTCAATCATCTTGGCAAAATCAACTCTCATCCGGCCAAAAATTCTCTGGCAACTTCCAAAACCCTTTCCAGTTTTTTCCCAAGTGGTAAGCCTGCTAATTTTAATTTGACCCCATCTGGCCAATATTCGCCGGACAAACCGTTGGACCTGGCCACTAGTCCGGTAAGTAGACATATCAAATCATCTTCTTCATCCTCCTCTTTGCAGTCGCAGACAGCAAAATCAAACTGGTTGGCCGGAAGCAATGGTATCTTGTCTTCTCTGACGTCAAACAATTCATCCAACTCGGACTCTCCCTTGGCCAAGAGACTAAGACTGTCGGCTGAGCAGGCCGAGGCTTATGCAAGCGCCTCAATCATGGCCAGTCTCAGCTCGGCAAATTTCGTGAATGAAAGATTACGTCTGCAGCTGATGCAAGCAGGGCTGCGCATGGGCGACTATAACCTGGATACACATACATCCAACTTAATGGACCTGACCAGCTCGGAAGTTCTGCGGTCCCAGTTGCTGCAGCATTATGGGATCAAGTCAGAACCAAAGTAAAATACGCCAAGGCTTGATGTATCATAACCGCTACCTCTCCTACAGTTTCTTCCTGCAATGCTGTTAATTTATTTACTACTCTCAAATTTTATAAATGTTTTGTTTTATCATTCTCTTCCTTTTGTTTGCTATTTTTGCAGGGTTCAGGGTCTGTTTATAAACTTTGTTTTCAACATTATGTTAATTTTCGTAACATTAATTTTATGTATATAAAGTTGACTTCCAGTTTTGTCACATGGCTTCCCTTTTTAAATTTAATTTTATTCATATTTCACTTTAAAAAGAGCTATATTAAGAAAAAACTTATCTTATCGTGTCATTTACAGTGACCTAACTGATCTCTCATTTTGTGATACTATTATCGCTGATATTCAGATGAGTCTTATTTTTTTCTGATTATGACTTGTGGGCAGATTTTTGTGCATTTGTATGACAAATAAATTTTGTTAAAGATTCACAACCTGCATAGATATTGGTGACTCTTTCACTACTTTTTTCTTGCAGATAAGTATCTAGTTTTTCCCTTTTCTTTGTAAAATGTTACAAGAATATTGAGATCATTAAAATTTTAATTTGTGGTCATTTTTAATTTCACCAAGTTAATAGCACTCTAAAGTGGCCAGGATACTGTTTGTGGGTGCTTGTGTGTAGGTCTTAACCTGTAGATATGTAGACATTTTTCTTTTGAAGTGAAAGAACGTTTTTGGAGATATCTAAGTAAAATTGGTCGTAGCAACCTAAACACTTTTATGTAGATCTCAGCTCCTCAACTGAGTAGTCAAGTTTATATTTTACTCTTCATCAGTCAAAGACTAGCTCTATGAAGATCCCGACTCAAAGTCAGTCAAAGGTCAAGTTTGTATCTAGAACTGAAGTTGAAGTCTTAAAAATAATAGAGAGGACGCAACAGTTTTTGAAATGTGATTTAATGTTCAACTGCAAGCAGTTACCAACTTCCCTGTTTCAACAAAGTGGTTTTGGCTGATGAGAGCATTCTAAAATGTTAAAATATGCCATTCAGACCACTCCATCTTGGTATGTTGCTGGCATCCAAGTTTATTCTTTCCTTTCTATACAGAGACCGCTGTGCCACCATTATGTACTACACACAAGCATTTGATCTGCTTAATGTTGCTGGGAATAGTTTTCTTTCTCAAAAATTAAATCTTTTTCTGGGGAAAATGTTTTAATTTGTATAGTTAATTGTTTAGAGAGTTGAAGGTTGATCACTGAAGATTCTTAGATGTAAAAAAAAATAGTTCTATGAGAGAATGAAAGACTTGTTCAAAAGTGAAACACTTATTTGACAGAACGAACAGTGGTCGCTCATTGAAATCTATTGATCAGATATTTTGAAAGAACATGATGAATAACTCAAGGGGAAGTTATAAAATATTAGACGGAAAGACAGGGTCTCAAGAATCATCTTTGTGCTCACCGGCTGTAATCTCGAGTTCACCGGCTGTAATCTCGCATTCAGCTCCTGTATATTGATATACAGATGTGAATCATGGACAGTTAATAAATTAGTGAAAACTTTTTTGGAAACTGTGGACAGGCAGCACTCAATGGGTAGGTTAAGTCATCAGGTAGCACTCAGTGGGTAGGTCAAGTCATCAGGTAGCACTCAGTGGGTAGGTCAAGTCATCAGGTAGCACTCAGTGGGTAGGCCAAGTTATCAGGTAGCACCAGTGGGTAGGTCAAGTCATCAGGTAGCACTCAGTGGGTTGGTCAAGTCATCAGGTAGCACTCAGTGGGTAGATCATCAGGTAGCACTCGGTAGGTCAAGTCATCAGGTAGCACCAGTGGGTAGGTCAAGTCATCAGGTAGCACTCAGTGGGTTGGTCAAGTCATCAGGTAGCACTCAGTGGTAGGTCAAGTCATCAGGTAGCACTCAGTGGGTAGGTCAAGTCATCAGGTAGCACTCAATGGGTAGGTAAAGTCATCAGGTAGCACTCAGTGGGTAGGTAAAGTCATCAGGTAGCACTCAGTGGGTAGGTCATCAGGTAGCACTCAGTGGGTAGGTCAAGTCATCAGGTAGCACTCAGTGGGTAGGTCAAGTCATCAGGTAGCTCTCAGTGGGTATGTCAAGTCATCAGGTAGCTCTCAGTGGGTAGGTCAAGTCATCAGGTAGCACTCAGTGGGTAGGTCAAGTCATCAGGTAGCACTCAGTGGGTAGGTCAAGTCATCAGGTAGCACTCAGTGGGTAGGTCATCAGGTAGCACTTAGTGGGTAGGTCAAGTCATCAGGTAGCACTCAGTGGGTAGGTCAAGTCATCAGGTAGCTCTCAGTGGGTATGTCAAGTCATCAGGTAGCACTCAGTGGGTAGTTCAAGTCATCAGGTAGCTCTCAGTGGGTAGGTCAAGTCATCAGGTAGCACTCAGTGGGTAGGTAAGTCATCAGGTAGCACTCAGTGGGTAGGTCAAGTCATCAGGTAGCACTTATTGGGTAGGTCAAGTCATCAGGTAGCACTCAGTGGGTAGGTAAGTCATCAGGTAGTACTCAGTGGGTAGGTCAAGTCATCAGGTAGCACTTAGTGGGTAGGTCAAGTCATCAGGTAGCACTCAGTGGGTAGTTCAAGTCATCAGGTAGCACTCGGTAGGTAAAGTCATCAGGTAGCACTCAGTGGGTAGGTCAAGTCATCAGGTAGCACTCGGTAGGTCAAGTCATCAGGTAGCACTCAGTGGGTAGGTAAGTCATCAGGTAGCACTCAGTGGGTAGGTCAAGTCATCAGGTAGCTCTCAGTGGGTATGTCAAGTCATCAGGTAGCTCTCAGTGGGTAGGTCAAGTCATCAGGTAGCACTCAGTGGGTAGGTCAAGTCATCAGGTAGCACTCAGTGGGTAGGTCAAGTCATCAGGTAGCACTCAGTGGGTAGATCATCAGGTAGCACTCGGTAGGTCAAGTCATCAGGTAGCACTCAGTGGGTAGGCCAAGTCATCAGGTAGCACTCAGTGGGTAGTTCAAGTCATCAGGTAGCACTCGGTAGGTAAAGTCATCAGGTAGCACTCAGTGGGTAGGTCAAGTCATCAGGTAGCACTCGGTAGGTCAAGTCATCAGGTAGCACTCAGTGGGTAGGTCAAGTCATCAGGTAGCACTCAGTGGGTAGGTCAAGTCATCAGGTAGCACTCAGTGGGTAGGTCAAGTCATCAGGTAGCACTGGTTTCTGGTTTATATCTGCAGGTGCATGATAAAAATATTTGTTTCATTTCCAAAATTGAAGTTTAAAAAATCTTTTTGAGATGCAGTTTTGTTTGCAGCTTTGTGATTCTTAGTTTAAAAGTTGTAAATGCACTGAATTTATGTAGATTTTCAAGAGCTTTTATCTTGTCAGTTGAGCAATGTATGGAATTAAAATGGATACATAAACTGCTGTAAACTGTCTGGATACGTGGCTAGCGCCTGCCTTTCCTTTCACCCTAACCTCATTAACAACAACGAAAAGGGTACAGTCAGTTCCTCAGACTGAATTTTGTAAACAGTTTTAAAATCTTTTTTGCTTTTGAAAGATGAGAGTTTATTCTTGATCTTTTGTCAAGAAAATGGTTTTGAATGAGATTTTTGAGTATAATGTTGTGATAGTGAAAATGATTTTGTAGCTTTGTTGGTTTCTCTTAGTCTGGTCAGCCAGTATAAGAATATCTTATTGAGTATGGAATCAAACTTGAGCTATGTCTGAACATATTCGGATTGACGTCTGAAGGCATATAAAGAAGAAGTTATCTTTTTCTTTTTAGCATTCAATAGCTGTAAACTCTGGCAGAATGTTTTGGTTTTTCCATCCACTCCTGGACTTTATGCCTTTTCAGGAGCTTGATTCCTGCATGCACTTCCGTTTTACATATCTGGCTTATCTATGCAGGCTGTTGGTTCCTCACCTCTTAGGCAGATGCAGTCTGACTTGAAGGAAAAGTTGATTCTGTGTATGTTTCTAGTATGATCACGGATGAAGTGCAGACAACCTTGACTAGTTTGAGCATATGTCCTGCTGCGCTACCATGCTTGATTCAGCACATCGGCATCCCAGAAGGATAAAGGTACAAAAAAAAGGGAAGAACAATGAACATTATGTATAATTAGTTATCCAGCTTACAGGTTTTATCTTTTGTTCTTTATTTTTTTTTTCTCATCTCATGCTGATATTTTAAAATAAATTACCCCTGTTCTAAGTCTGCTGTATCTTGCAAGAGATTTTATTCATTCCAGTATCGACAATCATCGTTTTCTAGTCACTGTTCACATTTTACGAGGAAGTGCCGACTTTGTACACGTGCAATTGTATTTCCAGGTTAACCGACTTGTGAGATTATAACTTGATAATTCTCTTTCCTGTTATTGTTTGCTTTTTCTTGTGTCTTTTTTTTAATGTGGCAGAAATCTTTGAGATTATTGTTTATCAGCTATATTTGAATACCAACTGCTGTATGCAACATCTTTCATTCCTTATTTTCATGTATGCATTTTGTTTCATGAATTATTTGTTGAACCAATTAGCTGCTTAATTAAATAGGTTTTGAATGAATTAGCTGTTTTATTAATTAGGTTTTGAATAAATTTGCTGTTCAATTAATGAGGTTTTGAATGAATTAGCTGTTTAATTAATGATGTTTTGAATGAATTAGCTGTTTAATTAATGAGGTTTTGAATGAATTAGCTGTTTAATTAATGATGTTTTGAAAGAATTAGCTGTTTAATCAATGATGTTTTGAAAGAATTAGCTCTTCAGTTAATTGTGCAGATTGTAGCCATAGTTTGCTTGACTTGGATGTATCATGGTTATCACTTATAGCATTTTATTTTGCCATATTGGTTTTTGTTTAATTGGCTGATTGGAACATCTCTGGCAGACTTTGAGTTAGAACTGTTATGTCTGATATGAATTTGGTTTGAGCCTGAAAAGGGTTTGCAGATACCTAATCAAAATATTTGACAATTTATGTAAGATATAAAAAAAAAAAAAACAACAACACCCATACCAGACCTCAGCTGGATGTGTCCAAGA